CATTGTGTGACATCGGCAGAATATTGACCGATATCCAGCATGGCCTGTCGATGACGCGGAGGTCATTTATAGTGCCGACGTTTAGCATCTTGTTAAAACAAATAGCCGATGTAACGCCAGTGGACACTTATCTTTTTGGCGAAAACTTATCGGAGAAACTTAAGTCTGCGAAGGAAGTGGAGAAGTCCGCGAAAGACATCACCAAATCCAACCAAAGTTCAAGTAAAAGTTACGTGAACAACAAGGAGAAGTTTGCGGGGCCGCCAAAAAATAAGAGCAATTTAAACTACAAAACCCCCTCCTCCAAGAAGAACTATCCGAACACGAATTTGAGGAAGAGGGGGCAAGAATCGAGGACACCACGCAACCAGCCATATCGTCGTCAAAGGACCCAGTGGTAAGTTATAAAGCAGGTCGAATAAAATATTTTATTAGCGAATGGGAAAAGCTGACACTCGATCCCTCCATACTGAAATGCGTTCAGGGTTACAGTATACTTTTTGATAGCACTCCGACGCAGTTGTTTAAACCAACAGAACCTCAACTTTCCGTTGAAGAATGTGTCAGGATGGTAAAAGCCATTTCCCACATGCAAGAAATAGGTGCTGTTTTCCCATGCGACCCGTGCGAAGGTGAATTTTTATCTTCTTTTTTCTTAAGGCAAAAATCTAACGGCGATGACCGATTTATTTTAAACCTTAAGAAACTGAACAAATTCATCACAGCAACTCACTTTAAGATCGAGGACCTTAAAACAGCCTTGCGGCTAGTAAGTAGAAATTGTTTCATGTCGGTGATTGATATCAAAGATGCTTATCTTATGATACCAATAATAAAAGAACATAAAAAATTTCTCAGATTTCGTTTTCAGGGGGTCACTTACGAATTTAGTTGCTTACCTTTTGGGCTTTGTACAGCACCACTGGTTTTTACAAAACTATTAAAGCCGGTGGTACAAGTACTAAGAAACCAGGGCATTGTCTTAGTCATCTACTTGGATGATATACTAATCATCGCTGAGACTGAGAAGCAATGTGGGAAAAACGTCACGATAGTTCGATCTCTTCTTAACAAACTGGGGTTCGTTATAAGCGAGAAGAGTCAACTCAAACCTTCAAGAATATGCACGTTTTTAGGTTTCGTTATAGATAGTGAAGCATTTTGTGTTCGACTAACAGATAAAAAACGAGTATCAATAGATCAAAAAATTCAAATCTTTTTAGGTAAAAAGACCTGCAAAATAAAGGAGTTAGCTCAATTTCTCGGAACATTGGTGGCTGCCTGCCCGGGAATCAAATACGGGTGGCTCTACACCAAAAGGTTAGAACGCGAGAAATATTTAGCTTTAGGAAATTGCGGTAATAATTTTAATGCTACCATTTCCCTCCCTAACCTGATTCAACCTGATTTGCAGTGGTGGTCTCTTAACGTAAAAACATCAACCAACCCAATCAGAGAATCTAAATTTGCAATTGAAATTTTCACAGACGCTTCGCTAACAGGTTGGGGCACGTTCTGCGATGGAAAAGTGGCTAACGGTCTGTGGAGCAAAAAGGAGCAGGAACTCCATATTAACGCATTAGAATTGATGGCCGCGTTTCTAGGGTTAAAATGCTTCGCCAAAAATTATTCTGAGTGTGAAATCCTCCTTCGTATGGACAACACGACGTCCATTGCCTATGTAAATAGAATGGGTGGGATTAAATACCCTAAGTTAACCTATCTTGCCAGTGAAATCTGGAAGTGGTGCGAGAAAAGAGACATATGGGTCTACGCGTCTTATCTACCGTCAAAAGCCAACGTAGATGCAGATGAACAGTCACGTATCCTTCCTGAAGAAACGGAATGGGAACTGTCAGATAGGTCATTCAAAAAATTAGAAAGAGAATTAGGGCCATTTAATATAGATCTGTTTGCGTCTAGAGTCAATGCCAAATGTAGGAAGTATGTGTCCTGGAGACGAGATCCAGACTCCATACTTGTCGACGCTTTCACTATGGATTGGCGAGATCAGCTTTTCTATGCATTCCCTCCTTTCGCACTTATCTTGCGAACCCTTCAAAAAATAAAAATCGACCAAGCCGAAGGCGTGGTTGTGGTACCAAGGTGGCCTACCCAGCCTTGGTACCCATTATTCATGTCTTTAGTCGTATCAGAAATTATTACTTTCAAGCCAAGTAAAAAACTTCTTTCTTCCCCTCACAGAGATCTACATCCGCTTCACCACAGCCTTTCCCTGGTAGCAGCTCGCTTATCAGGGACGGTTTCAAAAGCAGAGGTGCGACAGAGGAGGCTGCAGAGATAATGGCGAAATCAATCACGGAGAAAACCATGAAGCAGTATGCAAAACCGATCCATCTATGGTGGGAACATTGTCGAGACAATCGCTGCAGCCCGTTTCATTGTTCGACGTCAGAATGCCTAAAGTATTTTACGAAAATTAACGAGAGCACAAAATCCTACAGTACTCTAAATGTACATAGAGCAGCTCTCTCACTTCTTATGGGCAATGAGCTTGGAAATAACGCAAGTATTAAAAGATTCTTCAAGGGTATTGCTGTCCTAAAGCCGCAGAAAGCAAAATATAATACCACCTGGGACCCGAAGCCGGTGCTGGATTACCTCTCATCTTTTTATCCTATTAACAATCTTACACTCGAAAAATTAACGAAAAAACTGGTTACAATACTTGCCTTGTGTACTGCACAAAGAATCCAAACTCTAACGCTGATTGAACTACAAGACATTAATCTGAGAACAGAGCCTATTACAATAAAAATCCCCGCACGAATAAAAACGACGAGGAGAAATGGCTACCAACCTTGTCTACAAATCCCGACCTTCACAGATAAACCTGAAATATGCGCCGCTACCACGCTTCGAGAATATATCCAAGTAACCAAGGCACTTAGACAAGGCAACCAGGAAAATGGAAAACTACTCATTACCGTCAATAAACCGCATCGACCTGCAACTGCTCAAACAGTCAGTCGCTGGATTAGGGACACTCTACAAGCCAGTGGTATAGATACGGAGACATACACCGCTTATAGCACTAGGCATGCGTCAACGTCAACCGCTGCCCGTCGAGGTGTAAGGGTGGAGTCCCATGGCAGCGTTTTGCGTTGCGTTTTGTAACTAGGCCATGAGTGCAAATAGAGCAAACGTATATCTCCATCCCTCTCACACGCATGGCCTAGTTACAAAACGCAACGCAAAACGCTGCCATGGGACTTCAGCCTAAACGTCGACTTAATTTGCAAAGCAGCTGGTTGGACAGCGAATTCTTCAACGTTTGCACGGTTTTATAACCGTCCCATTGTAAGTGAGGCTTCTTTCGCAGAAGCAGTCATTAGAAATTAAAAAAAAAAGAAAAAAAAAAAAAAAAATCCTTTTATTTTATCACTATAATAATGTTTAAATAATCAAACGAACTGTTTCGTATTTATATATTTCGTATTCTTACAACATTGTTTCTAAAATATAATTAATAAAAATTATATGTTTAATTCAACAAAAACGCAAAACAGAAAAATCATTATTCACTTTAAAAATCTACCTGTGTGATCTAGAGGACGAGGCGGCGAAGTACAATTGAACGATTGAACGAACTTACCTAAAGTGAAGTTCAATCATAATTGTATAAGCCGCCTCGTCCTCTAGATCAAACCCACCACTCCCATAAACAAAAGTTGTTAATTTACCCGGTCATGATTTTTATTGCAACTGTTTTGCTAAACTTTCAAATGTAATGACGAGCAGAGGGCTAGATAATAGGACGCCACCTGTTGGAGGCGCTAAAAGTTTTTAACTTTGAAATTATTGTGGCGGAACGTATAATACCACGGTACTACCTGTGTGATCTAGAGGACGAGGCGGCGAAGTACAATTATGATTGAACTTCACTTTAGGTAAGTTCGTTCAATCGTTCAATTATTTTCAAAAATTTTAATAAAATTCTTCTCATGAATTCAATTGTTTTCAAAAATTATAATTTAAATGCTGCTAAGAAATTGAATTATTTTTAAAAAATTTAATAAAATTCTTCAAAAAGTTTTCAATTATTTTCAAAAATTGTTACAAAATTCTTTAATATAATAAATTTCATTAAAATTTTAATTAAATTCCTTAAAAGAAATTAAATTTTTTCAAAAGTTGTTAATACAAATTCTTCGTAAAAATTAAATTTTAAGAAACATTCAATATTATTAATTTTTCTATTTAAATAATTGATTTCTCGTAGAATTAAATTATTGTTTTTCGTACTTTTAACTAACAATTCTGTAGAATTAATTTTTTTGAAAATGTTTAATTGAATAATAATTGATGTTATTGATTTAAAGTAGAATTTTAGTTAAGAATTCTAGAAAATGTTAATTGAATTGAAATGATACAAATAATTGTGAAGAAATTACAGTAACAATATTCTTATAATAATAAAATAATGATTTTGTCAATCGGTCATCTTTATGTTTTATAATAATATTCTTATGAGTTGTTGAATTTGAAAATGTTTGAATTTGAAATTTTTGAACATCTTAATGCCAATGAAGAAAAAATGATTAAATTTTTATTTTAAATAAAACTATTGATTTTTTCGAATAATTTTACTTTTGTAGAAATTTGTAAATAAATTTAATAGGACATTTTTTTGAGTATCTAATAATTTTGAGAGTGAATCAGAATATTCTTTAGGGTCAGTGAAAAAGTGAAAGTTATGTTTGGAAATGAGGGAAAAGTCAGGGAAAAATAAAGTTAAATTTTTGTGGCAACCCTGTATAAATAAATTATATTTTTATCTTTATTTAACCAATTTTTATGGTCCCCTAAAAGTCCCCTATTTTTTAATTTTCAGTCCCCTATTTCCCCTAAAATACTTTTTAGGGGCACTGTGAAGCCTGTCAGTTTTTATTAATTATTTTAGATGCAATGAAGATTATTATTTTTAATAATAATGATAAAAAAAATACAATAAATTTTAATTTGAGAAAAATTTACAGAATGATGCTGATGCTGCTCGAGAAGCGTATGGAAAGTTCCTGGAGCGATATCCATATTGCTATGGATATTGGCGAAAGTACGCAGACTACGAGAAGAAAAAGGGTGATCCCGAGAACGTGCAAAAGGTGAGTCCATTTCAATTTCTAAGTGCGATTAAGGTTATACATGTTTGTTCAAAAAAAAAGAAAATTTATTTTTCATTTTTTTACAATTTTTTTTTTAAATACCGTACATGATATATTACTGTTGATTAACGCAAATAATCTAATTAAATGAAACTAGCTCGTGGTAGGAAGAGGCGTGGGCAGTGTGCACGCACATAAATATGGTTTTCCCTTCCAACAGCCTAGCACGTCTTGCGGCACCTATTCGACTCTCCTCGTTTATCAATTAGCTACTTATTTAAATATTATGATTATTATTATTATTATGATTATTATTATTATTCTACTAGAACCGTTGCGACAGTGCTATTATTACATATTCTTATTATCTCTATTTTATTATCAGTATCTTTATTATCAATATTTAAAGAAATATCGCTATAATTTAATTGATACTATTAAATAATTATCTAAGACGTTGTTTCGAATTTGCGAATTAACCGTCGTCACAACTATTTATTGTTGTGTGTATCACTTTGTGTGTGTGCGTGTGTGTGTTCTGTGCTTTTTATTATAAACAAAAAAAGTTACTCTAAGCCTATGTAAGCAAACACAAGAAAAAACACAAAATTTTGCTCAATTTTCTTTTGAGCAATGACAAAAATTATTGTAAACTTAAACTAAGATTGCGAAATTGTACTTGTTTTCTTTAATGTCGATGAAACGACAAGATTCTATTTTTTTTTTCTGGGGACCATTTTTTTTTCTCTGTATTTTTTTTATTTTTTGAAAAAGAAAAAAAAAGAAAAACCTTAGGAAACGGGCCATGGAAAAAAGGGAGAGAATGGGATACAAGAAAATTATGTTGGCGGAAGAGAGAGAAAGAGAGGCGCCTTGATTGGAACACTTCCCTGAACTTTAAAGGTGAATCCACAATGCTCTGCAATCTCTGTGTTAATTATGAAATAATTATTTATTTACAGAACGCGCACGACAAACGTGAGTATTTCGAATTAATGAACCGCTATGCTTAACGAAAGCTATAAGAAAAAAAAGACAATTATATGAGAATCTCTAGGTTTATAATAATGAATCCTTACCCGAAAAAAAACCACATTTTAACCGGCAAACATAAAGCAACTAGTCCTATTTTTAAAAGGATTTTTAATTATCACAGGTTTTTGATGCGGGACTTAAAGCAATTTCACTCAGCGTTGACCTTTGGATTCATTACATCAATCACTGTAAAGTCATTTATGAGAAGGACGAGAAGAAGATGAGAGAGCAGTATGAAAACGCCATCACTGCCTGTGGCCTTGAGTTCAGGTAAATAACAAAAAATTTTATTTACAAATATTGTAATTTTCACTTAAGTAATTTTATTTTAAGTACTCAATTTGCAAAACTCCTCTTTTTTTCATTATTAAAATTATAAAACGTTTGATGAAAGTGACCAATTTTTATAAAACAAAAAAGAAATAAGAACTTACTTTCAATATTTTTTATTTTTTAAAGTACAATAAAATATAATACCTCACGGTTGTTACAGATCAGAGAAATCAAGGAAAAGTCAGAGATTTTTATTAAATTGGAAAAAATTGAATTTTGGAGAAGTTACAAATGATTGCAGAAATTCAATTATTTTCAAAATTAACAAAATTCTTCGCAGAAATTCAAATTATATGTTTAGAAATTTAAAAAAATTCTCGTCATTTTTCAATTAATTTAAAAAATAATAAAATTCTTCTCCGAAATTCAATTATTTTCAAAAATTTTAATAAAATTCCTGGCGAAATTTCAATTATTTTCAAAAATTTTCCTCAGTTCAATGATTTTCAATATCTACTATTTTTATAAAATTTTTCAAAAGAATTCCATTATTGAAAAAAAATGTTGACAAAATTCTAAGCAAACATTCGATTATTTTCATAAATAATCAAAATTTCAAAGGAATTCTATTACTTACAATTTTATTTTATAAATTTCTTCGCAATAATTCAACTATTTTCATAGTTAATAAAACTCACAATAGAATTTCAAATATTTTTAATACAATTTTAATCGAATTCCTCAAAAAATGTAATTATTCTTTAAAATTTCATTAAAAATTCGTCAAAAGAATTGAATTATTTAAAAATTTGTTCATATAATTCTTCATGAGAATTCAGTTTCAAGAAATATTCAATTATTCGATAAATTATTTATTTTTGTATTTAAATAATGGAATTCTCGTTGAATTTTTTAATAAAAATTGATTTAATTCTTCTCCAAAATTCAATTATTATCAAAAATTTGAATTAAATTCTTGTCAAATTTCAATTATTTTCAAAAATTTTCCTCAATTCAATGATTTTCAATATCTCCTATTTCAATAAAATTTTCCAAAAGAATTCAATTATTTAAAAAGAATTTTAATAAAATTCTAAGCAGACATTGAATTATTTCCATAAATAATAAAAATTACACAGGAATTCTACTATTTACAAATTTTTTTATAAATTTCTTCTCAACAATTCAATTATTTTCATAAATAATACAATTTTTCACAGAGATTCAATTATTTTCATGAATAATAAAACTCATCATAAAATTTCAATTATTTTTATAATAAAATTCTAATCAAATTCCTCGAAAAATGTAATTATTCTTGAAAAATTTATTAAATATTATTGAAAAAATTCAATTATTTAAAAATTTGTTAATAAAATTCTTCATAAGAATTCAATTTCGAGAAATATCAATTATTCAATTAATTTTTTTTTTATTTAAATACTTCAATTCTCGTAAAATTTTCTAATAAAAATTTATTTAAAAATTTGTTTTTAGTTAAAATTTTAGATAATAATTGAATATTAAAAACATTATAGCGTGAATTTTCAGAAATAAATGAATTTTGAAAGGTTTTAAATTAAAATCTTTGAAAATTTGAATTTTTCGTACTTTTAACTGACATAATTCTGTTGAAATAATTTTTTTGAAATAGTTTAATCGAATTTTAAAAAAAAAATTATTTCAAGTTTTTATTTTCTAATGTATATTTAATTGAAGAATTTCCGAATAATTGAAATTTTGTAAAATTAAATTGTATGCAAATAAATTTGAAACTTCTCAAGGAACTTTTGCAAAAATTATTAAATATAATTAATAATTGAATTATTTTCAAAAATTTTAATAAAATTCTTTCCAAAATTTCAATTATTTTCAAAAATTTTCCTCAATTCAATGATTTTTAAAATCTACTATTTTTATACAATTTTTCTAAAGAATTCTATTATTTAAAAAAAATGTTGACAAAATTCTAAGCAAACATTAGATTATTTTCATTAATAATAAAATTACACAGGTATTCAACTATTTATAAATTTTGTCGTGATAATTGAATTTTAAAAAGGTTTCTAATTAAAATCTTTGAAAAATCTGAATTTTTCATACTTTTGACTAACAATTTCGTAAAATTAATTTTTTTTGAAAAAGTTTAAATGAAATTTAAAAAAAATTATTTCTAGGTTTTATTTTTTAAATATTTAATTAAAGAATTTGCGAATAACAAAATTTCGTAAAATTGAATTGTAAACAAATAGATTTGAAAATTCTCAAGGAACTTTTGCAAAAATGATTTTTTAAAATAATTTATAATCGAATTCTCTAGAAGAATTTTAATCAAAATTTGGAAATAATTACATATTTCGAAGAATTTACCTAAAATTGTATTAAAAATATTTGAAATTCTGTGAAGAATTTTATTATTTATAAAGTTCATTGAATGCTTGCAACGAATTTTATTAAATTTTTTCAAATAATTGAATTCTTTTGAGAATTTTTATTAAAATAGTAGATTTTGAAAATATTTGAATTTCAGCGAAGAATTTCATTATTTGTGAAATGTAATTGAATTCTTGCAAAAAAATTTTTGAAAATAATTACATTTCTCGAGGAATTTATTCAAAATTGTATTAAAAGTAATTGAAATCCTATGAAAAATTTTATAATTTCCTAAAATTGTATTCAAAATATTTGAAATCCTCTGAAGAATTTTATTATTTAGAAGAATAATTGAATTGTAACCAATTTTTATTACATTTTTTTAAAAATAATTGAAATCCTGTGAAGATTTTTATTATTTATGAAAATAATTGAATTCTTACAAATAATTTTTGAAAAAATTTTAAATAATTGAATTATGTTTGGAAATTTTATGAAAATAGTAGATATTAAAAATTATTGAATTGCGAAAAGTTTTTTAAAAATACATGGGGTCAAAAAGTTTTAGTACATTCGTACTGATTACTGTTAAGTGCTCGCTTCACTTAAAATTCAAATATTTCTGTAAAAATGGATGTAAGAGCTATCAAAGTAGGATCATTTTAAAGTTCAATAAATTTAGAGTCAAATAGGCTAAGATATAACCAATTTAATAGTGTAAATATTAAAAATATAATTCTTTAAAGTTAGAGATTTTTTGTGAAAATTGGGATTTTGAAATCTGGAATTCAAGCGTACGCCAATTGAAGAAAAATTTTTTTTTAAGTTTTGATAGTTGCACAATAAAAAGTACAAATTTCATTCTTTAATTCTAGATCAAAATCATTCACATATATTAAGTATTTTCTTCAAATTCTATAAAAATAATATCTCTTGCTCTTAATTTTTCGAAGAATATAAATTGCAAATTCGACGTTTTCATTCACTTGTTCTATCAAATAACCACACTTTTGAAAAATATAAAACCTCTTCATCTTAGAAAATTTAAGTTATTTACATGAAATTTATCCCTCTTCTTATAATTTTACAAATTTTAACTCTATCATTATTCCTTATTTTCATTCTAGGTGTCTATTTTTTTATTTTTCAATAAAAAAAGATGCATATTTTTCAAAAGTGTGGTTAATTGAAAAAACAAGTGATTGAAAACGACGAATTTGCAATTAATATTATTTGAAAAATTTCGAGAGCAAGGGAAGTTATTTTTATAGAATTTGAAGAAAATACTTAATATATGTGAATTATTTTGGTCTAGAATTAAAGAATGGCAGGGTGGCCACTTGACCGGGAATTGAAAAATTGACCGGGATAACCGGGAAATGACCGGGAAATTTGATACTAAACCGGGAATTTATTTTTTATTTTTAATTTTATTTTTAAACTGACCCAAACAAAATTTTTTTTTTAATTTTTACTCGAGAAGTATATTGTACATAAGTAGGTATAGTAGAGAATACATAAATTAACAGACTTTTGTTAGGGATGAAGAGGGGTTTATGAGAAAATAATATACTTATTTAAATTTAAAGAAATCCTTTTATTTTAAGCGGATTTTTCTTTTAGTATTTATTCCACAGGATTTTTCTCATAATTTCTATTATTTTTCATACGCTTATTTCAGTTTTAAAGAATCAATCATAAAGTTCATTATGAAAATTTTTAGTTCATTTAAAAAATAAGAAATTTGTAAAATAGTAAAAATTTATTATTTTTTTACAATTTTCATATTATTGTCAGTTCGGAAAAATGTCAAAAAAATGTTATCTCTAAATGAGCTCAATATATTGATTAGTTTAAATTTGTAATATGCATAATACACAATAATTTAAGATAATTTTTTTTTTTGTTATTAATATTTTTAATATTTCAAACTAAAATATTGTTTTAATGTATTATACAATGACCGGGAAATAAAAAAAAATTGACCGGGAAAACCGGGAAAAAACCGGGAATTCAATTTTCTACAAAAAGTGGCCACCCTGAATGGAATTTGTACTTTTTATTGTGCAACTATTAAAAACTTAAAAAAAAATTTTCTTCAATTGGCGTACGCTTGAATTCCAGATTTCAAAATCGCAATTTTCACAAAAAATCTCTAACTTTAAAGAATTATATTTTTTATATTTACACTATTAAATTGGTTATATCTTAGCCTATTTGACTTTAAATTTATTGAACTTTAAAATGATCCTATTTTGATAGCTCTAACATCTATTTTTACAGAAATATTTGAATTTGAAGTAAAGCGAGCATTTAAAAGTAATTTTAATTATAATTTAATTATAATTTAAGTAATTATAAATTTTATAAAGAATTCAATTAAAATTTTTGAAAATAATTGAATATCCAAGAAGAAATTTATTACTTTTAAAAATAATTGAATTCTTGTGATGAATATTGTTATTTAAGAAAATAATTGAATTTTACAAAGAATTTTATTAAAATGCCTCAAAATTATTGAATTTTTTGTAATAATTTTGTTATTTATCGACATACCTAATTGAATTTTTTCGAAGAATTATTTATGTAAATAATAATTGATTCCTTGGGAAGAATTTTATTAAAATCTAAAAGAATAATTGAATTATTTCAAAAAAATTAATTAAAATTGTATTTAAAATAATTGATTTCTTTTGAACAATTTTTTAAAAATATTTGAAAATAATTGAACGCCTGTGAAAAATTCTAATATTTTTTTAAATAATTGAATTCTTTTGAAAATTTTTATTAAATTAGTAAATTTTGAAAATATTTGAATTTCAGCGATAAATTTTATTATTTGTGAAAATAATTGAATTATAGTTGCAAAGTATTTTATTAAAATTTTCAAAAATAATTGAATTTCTTAGAAGAATTTTATTATTTATGAAAATAATTGAATCATTGCGAAAAATTTTATTAAAATGTTTAAAAAGAATTTAATTTATGTGAAAAATTTTATTACTTGTAAACATAATTGAATTCTTGCAAATGATTTCATTAAAATTTTTGTAAATAATTTAATTCTTTTTGAAAAATCTTATGGAAATTTAAATTATTATAAAATATGAAGAAAGTGATCACTCCGAGTCGAAGACTCGGATTTCATTAAAATTTTTGTAAATAATTTAATTTTTTTTTTGAAAAATCTTATGGAAATTTAAATTATTATAAAATATGAAGAAAGTGATCACTCCGAGTCGAAGACTCGGAGTTATCGATTTCTTCATGTTTTATAATAATATTTTTATATAAGTTATTGAGTTTCAAAAGGTTTGAATTTGAAATTTTTTGAAAATCCTTATTCCAATGGATTAATTAAAATGATTAAATATTTATTTAAAAAAGAATTTATTGATGTTTTCGATTAGTTTTACAATTAAAAAAATTCTTAAATAAATGTAATAGAACATTTTTTTCAGTATCTAATAATTTTTAGTGTGAATCTTAATATTCTTTTGGGTCTGGGAAGAAGTCGAAATTTTGTCTGGAAATCAGGGAAAAGTCAGGGAAAAAGAAAATTACATTTTTGTGGCAACCCTGTACCTTCTCATGTGATGAGAAATGTAAAAATAATAAGATAATAATTTATTTTGATTAATTAACAATGTTTGTTGTTTGATTTTGACATTAGGTCTGATCGATTATGGGAGAGCTACATCAAATGGGAAATTGAGGGTAAACGACTGAGTAAAGTGACAGCAATTTATGATCGTCTATTGACAACTCCCACATTGGGATATACTTCTCATTTTGATACATTCCAAGAATTTGTCTCATCGAACGCACCAAATCAAATTCTCAGCGTTGACGATTTTCTCTCGTTACGCTCGGAGGTGAAGTCACTTCTTAAATCCGAGGATGTCACACCTTCATCCACAGCGGATGCACCACCTGGTGAGGAACCACCGCCACACGAAGTGCCACCCACTGACGAAGAGACGAGAGCGATTAGAGAGAAAATCATCAGCAGCCGACGTAAAATGCATAAAACAAATGTAAACGCGGTCGCTGCCAGATGGAGTTACGAGGAAGGCGTAAGTTCTCTTTTCTCTTCTATAAAGAAAACTATAATTGTTATATTTCATTCCTTTTTTTCTGGTATTCAAATTTTGATACCACTTTCTTTTGCATTAAATTAGAATTTTCTTAAAATTCGATTATTTTTAATAAACAAAAATTATTATATAACTAGCAAATGATACTCACACCAGCGTGCGGAACACGGTATTCTATTTATTATTTTGTAAATTAAAACATTTTATATTTGAAAAATTTTTAATAGAATTCTTTCAAAAAATTCAATTATTTTCAAAAATTCAGATAAAATTCTTCGAAACAATTCAATTATTTTTATGAATTGTAAAATCCTCGGCAAGAATTCAATTATTTTCATAAATAAGAAAATTCTTCGCAAGAATTAAAATTTTTTCATAAATAAATAATGAAATTCTTCAAAGGAATTCAATTATTTTCATAAATAATAAAATGTTTCGAAAGAATTCAATTATTTTTATAAATTGTAAAATCCACTGCAAGAATTTAATAACTTTAATAAATAAGAAAATTCTTTGCAAGAATTAAAATATTTTCATAAATAATAAAATTCTACAAAGGAATTCAATTATTTTCAATACAATTTTAATAAAATTTTTCGAAAGAATACAATTATTTTTAAAAATATTATTTAAATTCAATTATTTTCAACAATTTTGATAAAAAATTCTACGAAACAATTCAATTCTTTTTATAAATTGTAATAAAATTTTTCTAAACAATTCAATTGTCTTCAAAAGTTTTGAATAAAATACTTTGTAAATTTCAATTATTTTCAAAATTTTCAATTAAAATTTCTTTAAAAAATTACATTATTTTTACGAAATTTAATGAAATTCTTCAAAAAAAATGTAATTATTTTCAAAAACTGTAATAAAATTGTTTAAAAAAATTTAATTTTCAATGAATAATTTTAATATAATTTAATAGTTAAATTGTTAATTGCAATTAGTAATAAACACGATTATTTCAAAAATTTCAAAGAAATTTTTCATAAAATTCAATTATTTTCAAAATTTTCAGTAAAAATTATTTTTAAAAAATTCATTATTTTCAAGAATATTGAAATAAATTCTACAAAACAATTTAGGTAACTATTTTAAAGATTTTCAAGAAAAATCTTATTCCAAAGTTAAATTATTTTCAATACAATTTTAATTACATTATCTCGAAAGAATTCAATTATTTGAAAAAATATTGATAAAATTCTTGAAATGCATTCAATTATATTCAAATTTTTTTATAAATAGTTTAGAAGAATTCAATGATTTTCAGTATACATCAAAAATTTAATTATTTCTGAAAATAATTGAATTCTTGAATAGAATTTTATTAAAACTTTTTCAAATAATTGAATTCCTGCGAAAAAATTTATTATTTCTGCAAATAATTGAATTTTTGCAAAATTTTGAGAAAATAAGTGAATTTTTGAGAAGAATTTTATGTTAAGTGTATTTAAAATAATTGAATTCTTACGAAGAATTTAAAAATAATTGCAAATTTTCCTGGAATTCAATTAAAATTGTATTTCAAATAATTGAAAATCCAGCGAAAATTTTATTATTTATGAAAATAATGAAATTCTTGAATTGAATTTTATTAAAAGTTTTTTAAATAATTGAACTCCTGTGAAAAATTCAATTATTTTTTAAAATAATTAAATTTTCTCGGAGAATTTTCACAAGATTTTTAAAAATAATTGAAATTTTCGAAGAAATAAATTAAAATTGCATTGAAAATAAAGTGACATCCTGATAAGAATTTGATTAAAACTTTTTTAAATAATTGAATTGACTTTTTACAAAGAATTTTATTACAATAATTGAAAGTAATTGAATTACAATTGCAATAAAGTAATAAAAATTATACAAAAAATAGATATATACTAAAAATTTTTTTAAAAAAAATATATGGTTGACAAATCGAAGTTACGAAAATTTTTTCCCCTCATTTTATTAAACTCTTAAAGTTCTTAGTTTTATTTTCAATTAAAAATTGTCAATAACAAATCGAATTTAAGAAAAAGATTTCCTTTATTTCTAAAAAAGACTAAGTTTTGTTAACAAATTGTGATTAAGAAATATAAATGGGCCAAAATTTATTTATTTAAAAAAAAAAGAATAAAAAGAGAATTTTGTATGAAAATTGTAATTTATGCACAAAATTTTCTTTTATTTCTAAAAAGAAATTGGATTTTTGTTAAAAAATGTTGATTCTTTTATTTGCTTTTATTTCCTGATTTTTTAATAGTTTTTCTTTTTAGATGTTTTGAATTTTTAAATTAATAACGTCAACGTTTTTTTTTATTGAAAGAAAATTAAAAACATACACAAAAGACTAATTTCAAACTTCAGATAAAATGAATGAAAGAATACGAAGATTATTTTATGTAATTATTTTTAACATTTTTCAGATAAAAAGACCTTACTTTCATGTGAAACCATTAGAGCGATGTCAATTGAAAAATTGGAAAGAATATTTAGATTTTGAAATCAATGAGAAGGATTCCAACAGAATAATTATTCTCTTTGAACGGTGTCTTATTGCATGTGCACTTTATGACGAATTTTGGATGAGGGTAAGTGATTCTTTTCATTTAAAATTATATTCACTTAATTTAAAAAAAGATTTATTCGCAATTAATTTTATTTTTACCCAATTTTTAAATGTTAAGAAAATTTTATTTTCTTTTTAAAATCCTTCAGTTTGTTCGCTATTTGGAGAGCTTGAAGATCGACAATGCCGAGAAAATTCGTGACGTTTACACACGTGCCTGTACAGTTCATCATCCAAAAAAACCAAATCTTCATCTTCAGTGGGCGACTTTTGAAGAAAGTCAGGGAAATTTCGAGAAAGCAGCGGAAATTCTCGAGAATATTGATAATGTTCTTCCAAATATGTTACAAATCGCTTATCGAAGGATAAATCTCGAGAGAAGAAGGGCAGATCTTGAGAAAGCATGCACTCTTTACGAGAGTTATATCGTTAACAGCAAAAATCGTACAATCGCCAATAATATTGCTGTTAAATATGCAAGATTTCTATGTAAAGTCAAAAACGACACTGACAAGGCTGTCAAAGTTTTACTTAAGGTAAGAATGAACAAAATTTTTCTTCAATTATATATTATATATTATTACATTACATTATAATAATCGTAAATTCCCCTTTCCGTTAGCAAATTATCTGCATTCTTTTTTTTTCTTTTGAAAATTAATTTTTGTGGGTTATTGTCATTTTTTTTAATGTCAGAAAAAAACCAAAAATTACTCGTTTTATTCACTTCACAAGATTGACAAAAATTCCATTCCATATTTTTTATTTTCTTACTTTTTCCTAATTTTCATCAAAAATATTTACTTTTTTCTTATCCTACTGCTAATAAATTGAATTCCTGCAACGAAGTTTATTATTCATGAAAGAGTTTTAAATATTTATAAAAAATAATCTAATTCTTGCGAAGAATTTTATAATTAAATTTTTAAATAATTCATTTCTTTCGAATAATTTTATGCAAATTTTAATTTAAATAATTGAATTCTAGAGAAATTTTTATTATTCATGAAAAGAATTCACAGGGTTGCCACAGGTTAGGGGAATCAGGGAAAACTCAGGGAAAGTAAAATTGGTCTGGGAAATCAGGGAAAAGTCAGGGATTTTTAGTAAAAGTAATTGAAAAATAAATTGAATTTTGATGTTTTTTTGTTTGCCTCGTAAACTATGAAATTACCACGAATTTTAATACAAAACCTTCAATTTTTTCTATTTCTGACAATAATTTATTTTCAAATAAACTTAATTTTTCAAAAAGTATCATAAAATTATGACTTAGAAATTATTTAATGAATAACTTTTACAATTTTCATAAATACTAGATTGATAGAAAATTAAATTTTCGAAAAGTTACAAATCATTCCAGAAATTCAAATTATTTTCAAAAATTATAAAATTCTTCGCAGAATTTCAATTATGTTCAAAAATTAAAACAAATTCTCGTCAAAATTCCAATTATCTTTATGAATAATAAAATTCATCATCGAAATTCAATTATTTTTAAAAATTTTAATAAAATTCTTGTCAAAATTTCACAAGAATTCAATTATTTACAAAAATTTTAATAAATTTCTTCGGAAAAATTCAATTATTTTCATAAGCAATAAAATTTTCACAGGAATTCAATTATTTAAAATACAAAATTTCATAAAATTTTTCGAGAAATATCAATTATTTACAAAGATTTTCATAAAATTCGTCGCAAGAATTCAATTATTTAGAAAAAAATTCAACAAAGTTCTTTTCAAGAATTCAATTATTTTTATAAATAATAAAATTCTTCACCGAAATTCAATAATTTTTATAAACTTGAATAAAATTCTAGAAAGAATTAAATTATTTTGAAAAGTAATAAAATTCTTCGCAGAAATTAAATTATGTTTAAAAATTTTTTAAAAATATTTTTGTCAAAATTTCAAATATCTTTATAAATAATAAAATTCTTCATCAAAATTCAATTATTTTTCTAACTTTTAATAAAATTTTTGGCAAAATTTCACAGGAATTCAATTATTTACAAAATTTTAAATAAATTTCTTCGAAATAATTCAATTATTTTCATAAATAATAAATTTTTTACAGGAATTCAATTATTAAAAATAAAAAATTTCATAAAATTTTTCGAAAAATATCAATTTTTAAAAAAGATTTTTATAAAATTCGTGTCGCAAGAATTGAATTAATTAAAAAAAATTTAACACAATTCTTTTCAAGAATTCAATTATTTTTATAAATAATAAAACTGTTCGCAGAAATTCAATTATGATAAAAAAAAATTCTTGTAAAAATTTAAATATCTTTATAAATTATTGGTTAAATTTATTTAAAAAAAATTATTTTTTGTCTTTTACAGGCTGCAGATAAAGACAAGGAAAATCCAAGATTATATCTGCAATTGATAGACTTGGGTCTACAAAGGAATCCAGTGGACACACAAGAAATTGTTGGTTACATGGATATGTTTATCGATAGAGAACATGCGGACTTGGAACAACGAGTTCTTTTTGCTCAACGTAAAGTTGAATTCCTCGAGGACTTTAGTCCCGATATTCAAAAGGTTCTCAAGGCGCACGAACAATTCCAAAAATGTATAAAGCAAGCAAAGGAAAGAAAGAAGGCTAAGAACGACGACAGTAAATCGTAAGTTTTACAAAATATTATTTTAAATTTCTTTTTTCTATTTATTTATTTATTTATTTATTTATTTATTTATTCAAATTTGAAGAAATTGAAATTAATTTGACTTTTTTGTTAATTTAATTTTATTTTTTTGAATTGAACGGAATTTATATTAGAGGTAATTTACATAATTCTGAATTTATTAAAAATATTTATTTCCCTTTAATTATTATTGCATTTCAAAGTGTTAACAATAAACAATTAATAGTATATTGAAAAAAATGCGGTTGAAGATTTAATGAAGAACTAAAAAATTATTTTCACAAAAAGAGTTCATTTATGATATTTAACGAATAAAATTTCAAGACGAGCAGTAAATTTATCGAGGTTGTGTCATTTTACAAGGTCATGTAAATTTATGTCAGACGTAATTTTATAATTTTCTCAAATCGACAAGAATCACAATGTCAAGTAAAATTGAACATTTAGCTTTGTTACTTTTTCAGATATTGTAAATTATATGTTTTATACATACATTTATACATTTAATTAAATTCTTCGCGTGAATTCAATTATTTTCATAAATTAAAAATTTCTTCAAAGGAGTTAACTTTTTATTTTCAGTACTATTTCAATAAAATTTCTTGACGAAATTCAATTATTTTTAAAACATTTTTGTAAAATTCTTTAGAAGACTTTAATTATTTTCAAAAATTTTAATAAAATTATATGCAAGAATTAAATTACTTTAGATTTGAAATTAAAACATAGTTAAAAAATTATTTATTATTATTATTTATTATATAATGATAATCGAGATATTCTGTCCTCACGTGAAATTAGATTCCAAATTGTTTTACAGCTCCAAAAATTTTGACAATTTGTAAAAAGAGGGATTAGTGTTTTAGTGAAATTAATTCCCTTAAAATTTTGACAATAACAACATTTTTACAGGACTATAAAAAATTTATACAAAGTATTCATAATATCAAATTATTAAAAATCTTAAATAGTTTCTTAATTTTTTTTCTCAAATTAAAAAAAATCCATAACTAGAGTTACGGTTGCAATTTTCAGAAATAATCAATTATTTCTGTAATTAAATAATTGAATTCTCGTACAACTTTTTGTTAAGAATTGATTTGAAAAAAAATCAGTTAAAATTTTAGGAAATACTTTAAGAATTGAAAGAATTAAAGTTCTAATTTTTAGAAATAATTAAATTTCAAATAGTTTTACATTGAAAGTATTTTAAAATTTTAATTCCTGGTGGACAAGTAAATAACAATAAGTATTCAAATATTTATTAAACAAAAATTAATGAAATTTAAAAAATTTTATTTAGAAATTCTGAAAAATGAGGTTTTTAAAAAAACGTAATTAAATTTTTTTTGAAAATAGTTGAATTGCCGAAAATAATTTTTAAAAATTGAAAAAATAAGAAATTTTCTCAAATTTTATATTTCAAAGAATTTTATTTTCTTACTTTATGAAATTATTTTTGAAAATATTATTGTATTTTTTGAAAAATTGTAACTGAAAATTTGGAAAATAATTAAATTTTAGAAAAAATGTATGTATTTACATAATTCGATTATCGTTTGAATTCTAATAAGAATTGATTTAATAAAGAATATCATTTAAAATTTTGAAAAATAATTGTACATTAGAAGCGTTATAACAGGAATTTTATGAAATATATTAATTAAATTTTAAAAGGTTTTTTGATTGAAATCTTTTTAACATTTTAATCGCTGTAAAAAACTAATAATGTTTAAATGTTTATTTTAAAAAATATTAAAGTTTTGAATAATTTTATTCAACAGTTATAAAAAATTATTGATTTTTGGAAAAATTACAGTTGCGATTTTTAGAAATAATTAAATTTCAAAAGATTTTACATTGAAATTAATTTGAAATAAATTACAATTATAATAAATAACAATAAGTTTTTAAATATTTGTTTAACAAAAATTATTGAAGTTTTGAATAATTCAAAATGTAGAAATTGTAGAAAAAAATTAGGTTTTTGAAAAATTGTAAATAAAATTTTTCAAAGATAATTTATTGAATTCCCGAAGAAAATTAAAAAATCGAAACAATTAAAAGCTTTGTAAAATTTCATTGCAATAAATTTTATATTAGAAAGAATTTAATGTTATCACTTTTCAACATTGTTTTGAAATATAATCGTATTTTTGAAGAATTATATTTCGAAAAATTATATTTTTTTAAAAATAATTATCAAAAAGAAAGTTATTGTAACTAATAGTAATGGGTCTGAATTGAATAATTGCATGTTTCTTAAAATTCAATTCTCATAAAGAATTTTATCAACAAATTTTTAGGAACACTTTTAGGGGACCATAAAAATTGGTTAAATAAAGATAAAAATATTATTTATTTATACAGGGTTGCCACAAAAATTAAACTTTATTTTTCCCTGATTTCCAAACACAACTTTGACTTTTTCCCTAACCCTAAAGAATATTCTGATTCACTCTAAAAATTATTAGATACTCAAAAAAATGTTTTATTAAATTTATTTACAAATTCCTTCAAAAGTAAAATTATTTGAAAACATCAATAATTTTATTTAAAATAAATATTCAATCATTTTTTTTCATTTTTAACTAAAATTCTACTTTAAATGAATAACATCAATTATTATTATTCAATTAAACTTTTTCAAAAAAATTAATTCTACATAATTGTTAGTTAAATGTACGAAAAACAATAATTTAATTCTACGAGAAACCAATTATTTAAATACAAAAAAAATAATATTGAATGTTTCTTAAAATTTAATTTTTTACGAAGAATTGTATTAACAACTTTTGAAAATATTTAATTTCTTTTAAGGAATTTAATTAAAATTTTAATGAAATTTATTATATTAAAGAATTTTATAACAATTTTAGAAAATAATTGAAAACTTTTTGAAAAATTTTATTAAATTTTTTAAAAATAATTGAATTTCTTCGAAGAATTTTATTACTTTTGAAAAATAATTGGATTCTTGGGATGAATATTGTCTTTTAAAAATAATGTAGATCATAAAAAGTTTGTGTAGATTATAAGAATTTAAAATACAATCAACTTCTAAACATATAATTGAGACTTGACTTCACCAAAATACTAATCTTACAAATTTTATGAAAAATATCATCGATCATAAATTTCAAGATTTGAAACTTTCAAAACAAAAGTTTCCAATTGAAAATTTTTTCAACGGCACTTTGCTAAATTTGGTGTGAATTCATCATTAAAAGATAAAAGAAAAAAATAGGGGATATTTTCAAAATAGGGTACGTTTAGGGGCCAAAACTAAAAAAGGCACTTTTAGGGAAATAAGGGACAGACTGTGAAGCCTGATAATTACATTTTTCGAAGAATTTAATTTAAAATTGTATCAAAAAAAATTGAAATTCTGCAATGAGTTTTATTATTTATGAAAATAATTGAGTTCCTAAAATGAATTTTTGTATTTACGAAAAGAATTGAATCTTTGTAAAAATTTTATTATTTATGTAAATAATTGAATTATTGCGAAGAAATTTATAAAAAAAATTGTAAATAATTGAATTCCGGTGAATTTTTTATTATTTAAATGTTTACGTAGAATTTTATCAATTTTTTTTTTTTAAATAATTGAATTCTTTTGGAAAATTTTATTTAAATAATATATATTGAAAATCATTTTACGGAGGATAATTTTCGAAAACAATTGAAATTTTGCCAAGAATGCAAGAATTGTATGAAAATGTTTGAAAATAATTGAATTTCGAATAATTTTAATATTTCTAAAGATAATTGAAATTTTGACGAGAATTTTTAAAAAAATTTCAACGTAATTGAATTGAATCAACAATGATTTGTATTTAAAATTTTTAGGGATATATCACCACCGAAAAAAATGAAATCTGGCGATCCATCGAACGTACCGCCGCCACCTTCAATCAGCTCGCAATCTTCCTATCAATACAGCAGCGGTCCAAGCGGTCCCTATCAATCTCAACAGCAATTCCAAGGTAGCCAATACGGCAGTCAAAGCGGCTATCAACAGGGATACCAACAGTATCCACCGCCCTCAGATCCAAACTACGCGAATTATCAAAATTGGCAGTACAGCCAAGGTGGACCTCAAGCTTACGGATCTTACAATCAATGGGGATCTTATAATTACTATTAAGGATCTTCTTCATAGTGTTCGTGTCCTTTCATTTATTATTCATTGTACATTCTCTGAGTTTTACATACACAAGTTTACACAGCTGTTTAATATTCAATCCGACAAAACACTTATCCGTAATTTTTTCATCTTATTTTTCATAAAAAAAAAGAGAAAGAGCGAGAGTGAGAGAGAGAGAGAAAGAGAGCGAGAGAAATTAAAAATCCACTTTTTCTATTATTTAGAAAAAAAAATGCAAGAATAGCCAAAAAAAAATTCTATTCGATAAACAATAAAAAATAGAACATTTTCAAATTTGTTAATATTTTTCATTATATTAAATTTACAAATTTACATTTATTAAGAATTTACATTGTTTCGTTTTGATGTATACATTACAATGAAATAAGTTTTTGAAAGATTGGATTTTTTCAGAATATTAATATTGCGACCTTGAAAAACAGTGACATACCGAAAAGAAAAATGTTTTTTTTTTGTTCGAATTGATCAATTTTCTATGGGTGAAAAAAAAGTCGTCAGATGTTTTAAAAAAAAAATTGTCAATGTTTTTTTTTAATTTTTCCTTTCATAAAGAACTTTGACTTAAAAAAAAAAGGTTTTGTTTATTTTTTGCATTAACTATAAATAAAATATTTATTAATCTTAAAAAATTTTCTTTTTATAGAAAAACTTTTTTTGCGACAAAAGTAATTTTTTAAAAAATAAATAATACAGCTTTGTGTGACAAAAGTTTTTATAAAAATTATAAAAATTTTTTTTAAATAAGCCATTTTTTGAAGGTGAAATAAAAATATCCAGTGATTTTGAGACAAAAAAAAAAGAGAAACATTTATTGATTTTGCTTTCCATTACTTATTTAGTTTTATTTCAGAAAATAAAATAACATTTAAATCTTGCAAGATTTATTACAAATTGACGTTTTACAAATGCAAATGAATTACAGATAAAAAATACTCAACAAAAAATAAATATCTATATATTTCGCATAATTTCGCCTTCAATAAAAATAACAAAACACCTGAATATTTTTTTGTTCTTTCATTTTCCTGAACATTTATTAGTATCAAATTTTTAACATATAAAAATTAATATCTTGTAACTTTTATTAAATTTTTGTTCTTATATATTTCCCTCTTAGATTTCTTTCATCTTTTTTGTGTCGTAAAAAAAGTTGATGCAAAAAAAGTGCAAAATTAAAAAAATCAAAGAGGGAAATTTTTAAAGAAAGACTTTTTTTTTGTAAAATCAGTCTTTCTATCAAGAAAACTAGGATTATTTTTTCGACTTGAGAAATAGAAAAATGAAAATTGACATTTTATGTCGTTTTTGTTATGAAATCTAAATATCCTACAATAGTCGAATTTTTTTTAGAATATATTATATTAAGATTAACAATTTTTGAATAAAATTAGAGAGCTTTATATCACTACAAATTTCTTTTTCATTTTTAATGAAAATTGTCGATTATTTGTCATTATAGAGCCAAAATTTCTTTCTATAACTGATAAAGAAATTCTTGTAAGTATTTTATGAGTAGGAGAAAAAAATCTTCAATAAGTCACATATATATTGTTATTGTTAAAAATTAAAAATGATAAAAGTGTGACTTAATTTTGATTTTCTCGTTTACAAGTAAATAAAGACGTTTTTGGAGATTCTTAATTACATGACTACTGAGCTAGAAGCCATTTGATTTAATCCACAGGTACTTCCTCCACGATAAACTCGGTAATATCCTTTTTCACCCCATCGTGGTCCCCAACTGTTCTTTATTTTCCAATAAGGGAGTGTCTTTTTGAAAATTGGATATGCTGAAATTAAAAAAATTAAAATTACATATTTGACAATTGAATATAAAACAATAACTTAAAAATAAATTCAATTAAACTTTTAAAAAAAAACCGAAATATTTTATCCTTTGAAGATGAAAATTAATTTCCGAAACCTCTTCTTCCAATTATTGTTTAAACAATTTTTTCAATAATTATTTAGAAAAATTTTGTAAAACTCCGAAAAGAGAGCGTGTCAAGATTCCTTCATCTTCATTTTCCAAAAAATCCCGAACCAAAATATTCTCTTCTTTTTAAATGAAAAGTCAACCACAAAAACACTTTTTCTCCCACAATGCCATTAACCAAAATTTTAAAATTAAAGGTGAAATAATAATAATAATAATAATAATAATAATAATAATAATAATAATAATAATTTTAATAATAAATCTTCCGATATTTTTGTTTATAAAAAAAATTACTGACAAAAATGTAACCAGTCCTAGTCAAATATTAATAATAAAACAATTTACTTAAAACTACAAATTATAATAATTTATAATAATTAAAGATGGCCCAGTGATAAAATCATTATTATTTTATATTATAAGAATATTGCTACTGTAACTTCTTCAAAATTATTTTCATCATTTCAATTCAATTGTTATTTTCTAGAATTTTCAACCAAAATTCTTCTTTAAATCAATTATTTTTAATAATAAAAATTTTATAATTTTTGAAAAAATTATTCTTTGAGAATTTTTATATCCATTTGTTTACAATTCAATTTTAGGTGAAATTTCAATTATTCGGAAATTCTTCAATTCAAATAATTTTATTTTATTATTTATTATTATTATTATTATTATTTTTTATTATTTATTATTTATTTTATTATTTATTTATTATTTTTATATTTATTTTATTATTTATTTTTTTATTATTTATTTATTTTTTTTTTTTTTTATTATTTTATTTTATTTTATTTTATTTTATTTTATTTTATTTTTATTTTTTTTTTTATTTTACTTCAAATAATTTTCATGAGAAATTAAATATAACATTTTCAAAAAAAAAATAAATCTACAGAATTGTGAATGAAAATTATTATGAAAATAATAATAAAATAATATTTATTATAATAATAATATAATAATAATAATAATAATTATTTTCATAATATTTATTATGAAAATTGTGAATTATGAAAATTCAAATTTTCAAAATTTTAATTTGAAACCTTTTCCAAATTCAATTATTTCTAAAAATTCATGCTGTGAAATTTTTATTATTTATGAAAATAATTAAATTTTTCCGCAGAATTTTATCAATATTTTTTTAAATATTTGAATTTATTTGGGAAATTTTATTAAAATAGTATTTAAAAATCATTGAATAGAAACAAAATATTGAAAATAATTCCAAGAGTTTTATTAAAATTTTTGGAAATAATTGAGTTTTGGAGAAAAATTTTATTATTTTTAAAGATAATTGAAATTTTTACGAGAATTTTTTTTACATTTTTTAACATAATTGAATTGTATTCACAAATTTTTAAATAATTGAATTCTTTCGAAGAAAGAATTAGGAATTAGAAGAATTTAAGAAGAATTTAATTACTCTAGAAAATATTTGAATTTTTGAAATTTTAATAATAAATAAAATAAAAAAATAATAATAATAATAATAATAATAATAATAATAATAATAAATTTTCATAATAAATATTATGAAAATAATAATAATTATTATTATTATATTATTATTATAATAAATATTATTTTATTATTATTTTCATAATAATTTTCATTCACAATTCTGTAGATTTATTTTTTTTAAGAATTTATTAATTTTAAGAATAATTACATTTTTCGAGAAATTCGATTTAAATTGTAATACAAAATAATTGGAATTCAGAGATGAGTTTTATTATTTCTGAAAATAATTGAATTCCTAAGAAGAATTTAATTACTCTAGAAAATATTTGAATTTTTGAAATTTATTGTAATTTCTCCAAAATTAAATTTTTTTAGCATTTTTAAATTAAATTCTTCTATAAATCTATTATTTTTAATAATTTTTGAAAAAGTTCTTTGGAATTTTCAAATCCATTTGTTTACAATTTAATTTTACAAAATTTCGATTAACTAATTCTACAGAATTGTTTGTTTAAAAAATTTTAATTTTCTAAGATTTGAGTTTGAAAACTTTTCAAAATTCAATTATTTCTAAAAATTCAGGATACCTATAATGCTTTTATCAACAAATTTTTAAATAATTAAATTCTTTTGATGAAATTTAATAAAATTTTTACGAATAATTATATTTTTTAAGGAATTCGATTAAAATTGAATAAATAATAACTGAAATTTTGTGATGAGGTTTGAAAATTTTTTTAAAATAGTTATTGAAAATCATTTAAGTGAGGATACAATTTAAATCAAATTTCTCGAAAAATGTAATTATTCTTAAAAATTTTATTGAAATTCGTCGAAAGAATTTAATTATTAAAAAATTTGTGAATACAATTCAATTATATTAAAAAATGTAAAAAAAAATTCTCGTAAAAATTTCAATTATCTTTAAAAATATTAAAATTTTTCTCGAAAATTAAATTATTTCCAAAAATTTTAATAAAACTCTTGAAATTATTTAAGGTTTTTATTTTGTAATATAGATCTAATTGAAGAATTTACGAATAATTGAAATTTTGTAAAATTGAATAATTGTAAACAAATGAATTTGAAAATTCTCAATGAAGAACTTTTTTAAAAATTATTAAAAATAATGGTTTTATAGAAGACTTTTAGTTAAAAACGCTAAAAAAATTTAATTTTTAATAAAAATTGATTTAAAAATGGATTTCAGTTAAAATTTTAGATTATAATTAAATATTAAAAGCATTATATCGTCAATTTTTAGAAATAATTAATTAAAATTCTCGTCAAAATTTCGAATTTCTTTAGAAATAATAAAGTTTTTGTGCAAAATTTCAAATATTTTCAAAATTTTTCCTCACTTCAATGATTTTAAATATCTACTATTTTAATAAAATTTTCCAAAAGAATTCAATTATTTAAGGAAAATTTAATAAATTTCCACGCCAACATTTAATTATTTTTATGAAATAATACAAATTACACAGGAATTCAGTTATTTACAAATTTTTTATAAATTTCTTTGCAATAATTCAATTATTTTCATAAATAATACAATTTTTAAAGGGATTCAATTATTTTCGTAAATAATAAAATTTTTCTTAGGGATTCAATTATATTCATTAAATAATAAACCTCATCGCAAAATTTCAATTATTTTTGATACAATTTTAATCGAATTCCTCGAAAAATGTAATTATTCTTAAAAATTTTATTGAAATTCATGAAAAGAATTCAATTATTTAAAATTTGTGAATACAATTCCATTATGTCCAAAAATGTAAAAAAAATTCTCGAAAAAATTTCACTTATCTTTAAAAATAATAAAATTTTTCTCCAAACTGTTCAATTGAATTTTTTTTTTAAATTATTTCAAGTTTTTATTTTCTAATTGTATATTTAATTGAAGAATTTACGAATAATTGAAATTTCATGTGAAATTGAATTGTGAACAAATGGATCTAAAAATTCTCAAAAAATAACTTTCTCAAAAATTATTAAAAATAATTGATTTAAAGAAGAATTTTAGTTGAAAATTTTAGAAAATAATAAATAATTGAATTAAAATGATGAAAATTTTAAAATATTTGAAAATTTGAATTTTCATACTTTTAACTAATAATTCTGTAGAATTAATTATTTTGAAAAAGTTTAATTGAATTTCTTTTTATAGTTATTTGATGTTTTTATTTTCCAATTTATATTTAATTGAAGAATTTCAGAATAATCGAAATTTTGTAAAATTGAATATTGTAAATTATTAAAAATAATGGATTTATAGAAGAACGCTAAAAAAATTTAATTTTGTTGATAAAATTCTTTCCAAGAATCGAATTTCAAGAAGTTTTTAATTATTCAACAAATTATTTATGTTGGTATTTAATTAAATGAATTCTCGAAAAATTTTTAATAAAAATTGATTTAAAAATGGATTTTAGTTAAAATTTTAGATTTATAATTGAATATTAAAAACAATATAGCTTGAATTTTTAAAAATAATTGAATTTTGAAATTAATTTTTTAGAAAAAGTTTTCGTTTAATTGAATACTGTAAACAATAATGGATTTGAAAATTGTCAAAGAACTTTTTTGAAAATTATTGAAAATAATCGATTTAAAGAAGAATTTTAGTTAAAAATTGTTGAAAATAATAATTGAATTGATAGAATTTTATAGTTATCCAAATTTAATTTATAGTTTTGAGTAAAGTGTTCTCTTATTTGACTCAATTATTTTATAATTATATTTTTGTCAGTAATTAGTCCGTAAAGTCCGTATTTTGAAAATAATAATTTCACTGGTTCGAGGCCTGTACCAGTAAAGAAGAAGTTGTTTATTAAAACCTAAAAAAGTTTTCTCAAAAAATAATTATTAATCGACACATTTAATAATGTATAACTCTGGCGTCAGCAGAAGTTAATTTTTTGAATAAAACTAAATAAAATTGGTAAAACTTACTGTGAACACCATAGCCAACAATGAGAACTCCATGATCTAAATTTTTCGGATTACACAAGAATTTCGGAGGATGTGAGATTCCGCCCATGTAGAATTGCATCGCGTTGGCATTTATTCCAATTGCAATTGGTCCATTTTCAATGAGCCACTGCGCCATTTGTGTCTCATTAGAAGTAATATTCACCGCGGAGGCTACTTGAACCTTGGCCTTGGATTTCTTAAACTGACAAGTCTCCACCTCCGCATCATAGGGATAATCACTCTCAAGCTCCAAACCTCCCAGCGATTCAATTGCTCTGTACGCCGAATCAGGCAATCCACCGTTACAGCCTTCATCCAATTTATCGCAGTCCAACAATTCCTGTTCCGAGAGGGACACTAATTTTCCATGTTTTATTGCGTACTGTCCCTCAATGTTCCCTGTTACCGCAAAGGCCCAACACGATCCACAAGATCCTTGATCCTTCACTTCACTCACCGCTCCCTTTGTCGTCCAATCGAATTCACTCGGCAGCTCGACATCCGGTATTTTCGCCATTGGAAACGGAATTTCGTTTTCATTATGCAGATCTGGTCGGAGGCCTAAATATGTGGAACGGAATTCCTCGTGGCTCAAGTCGGCGAACATTGTCACTCCGTACTCTCCTGTGCCTTGCTCCAGTCTTCTTAATTCATCGATTGTTTTTAAATTCTGCTGAAAGATTTTGAACCGCTTTTGTTTTTCCGAATTGTTCGTGTAAACCTTTTGGAAGCTCTGAACGAAATCCTGAAACATCGTCGACTCCAACTCGAATGTTTCTTGTTCTTTTCTAAGTTCTTCGGACTGTTTCATCATTTTCTGTTGATAGCCTTGACCTTTGAGTCGTCCTTGTCCTTCACCCTGGAATTCATCAGTTGCTTCCTCGACCTTTTGGAACGATTGATCGGAGTTCAGTTTTGTACTTTCCTCTCTAGCTTCTTTGAACATATCGAGCATTTTTTGACTATAGTTCTGACCGCGTAGGGACCTTTTCTTCCTATCGGGACCGCACTTCACATCGACTTGCGGTTTGCCTTTATCCTCCCAAGGCTTGGACCAAATTTCCAAAAGACACTCTTCAGATTCGCCGTCCGTCTTCAAGAGGCAATTCTCCTTTGTCCCCTTCGCACAATTACTTTCGGCGAATTTCACTTTTATTTTGTAGATCGTTCCCGCAACAGTCTGAGCACTGGCGCTTATCACCTCGGCAACCAGCGGCTCATACGATTTCTGTAAATTCTGCGAATACTTCTGCAAACCAAAGTCCGCGTATTTTTTAATTTCCGGATCATTCACATTTTTTGGTCTCTCAGATCCGGGCATATTTTGAGGTACTTCCCTCTTGACTAGTCGCTTCCTTCTCTCGGGACCACATTTGTAGGTTATTTCCGGAGCCTTCTTTGTCCAGGGTTGGGACCAAATTTTAAAAACGCATTCCTCTGATTCGCCATCTGTTTTAAAGAGACAGTTCCCCTTTGTTCCTTTCGCGCAATTACTCTCGCCGAGTTGGGCCCTAATTGTGTAGAGTTGCCCCGAGACGACTTGAACACTGGCACTGATCACTTTCACGACTACTGGTTCGTACGTTTTCTTTAGATTCTGGGAGTAATTGTCTAAAGCCATGTTAACGAAACCTTGAAGATCCGAATCATTGACGTCTAAAGGTTTCGCAGAACCGACTCTTTCCCTGCGCCGTCTACTTTTAGCTTCGGACTCTAAGCACTCCGATTGAATAATCTTCAGGTCCTTTAACGGATTCTTCTCATCGGTCGAGAACTGAACTTTACAAACCTTGATCGGATAGACAATATCCTTGAGGCAGGATCGTTCATCAAAAAAGTCCAGTTCTGCCTCGTTACATGTCGTCGTCGCGACTTTTAGCTTCAGATAAAAATTACCCCCATTTCGCTTTTCTTTTTTAGCGTCTAAAACCTTCATGACAACGTCCTTCATCGAATCTGAATCCTCATCGTCGAGAAGGGTGACGACTTTCCTCGCTAGCTTCTTCTCCAATAGTTCATCGCGAACGTTCACTAAATCCTCTTTTGTATCGCGTCGAACTCGAATTGATTCGGGATTCTCGATTCTTATGGGTTTGATAATTTCCTCCTCGACAGGAATCCGATCATCCTTTGGCGTTGAACTCGGTTCCTTTAGGGGTACATCAAAACCTTCTAAAAAGGCATCGAATTCTTTGACTTTGTCAACAAAACCTTTCGACTTTTCGGGCATATTGCAATCTTTTTTTATCGCAACCTTTTTCGAGGGCTCCTCCACGACAACAGTTTGAACAGTTCCATCATCTCGTTCTATCGTCAGATTCAATCCAGGTGATTCAAAGTACTGATCAATCATTGTTTCATAAGTACTATACTTCCCTTCCTGTGCCACTTGATCATAAAATTCGGTTTTCACTTCCTCTTCTACTTCTTTATTTGGCGATTCGAAAAGTTCGACCGCTGAATTTGGACCAAGACTCACATTCAACTCGTTCTCAAGGGTCGTGCCGGTACAATTGTTCTTCGTAATTCTGAGACTATTCTTCTGCCAAGGTTTCTCCTCGAGAGTCACTTGACACGTTCTGACAGGAATATTTGCATGCAACACACACTGTGATCGTTCCACGTGACTTGTTTTCAAACAGTTTGTTTCTCCTATTTCGAGAAGAAGTTCGTATCGGACAACATTGGCGTTTGGGGGAACGGATCGCGAGACTCTCAGGACTTGAACGACTTTGTGCTTATAATCACCGGCTAATGATTCGTCCATCGAATTGACAATTTGCTCTCCGAAAGCTGCGAGACCTGGAAGATTTGGATTGAGATTGTAGGGACATCCGGGACAGTAGTGCGACTTTGAGGCGGGAACTGCAATGAAAGGACGATCGTTGTGATCAGCGGATGTCTGAACTTCGTGATCGAAACTCAAATTATCCTTCATTTGCTTCTCCAGGGACTCCATCACCTCCTGATCTGTGGGTTGAGTCTCGACATTCGGCGAGAATACCGGAGGAGGCACATAGGGATCGAGATTCAAACAGAGAATTGAGGAATAATTGATGACAGTGGATCCTTGGTCGTCTTGCTTGATTTCGATGCTGCATGTTTCGGGCATACATGTCTCTTCTTTACAAACTGGATCAAGTTTCAGGACAAGTTGATAGATTACGAAGGGCGGCTCGAACTGTAATAAACATAGAATCTTCAATGTTTTTAAATTCAATATTTAAACTTTAAAACAAAAATAACGAAAATAAACAGTGAAATAGGGGACTGAAAATTAAAAAATAGGGGACACTTTTAGGGGACCATAAAAATTGGTTAAATAAAGATGAAAATATCATTTATTTATACAGGGTTGCCACAAAAATTTAACTTTATTTTTCCCTGATTTCCAAACACAACTTTAACTTATTCCCTGACCCTAAAGAATATTCTGATTTAATCTAAAAATTATTAGACATCAATTATTATTCAATTAAACATTTTCAAAAAAATTAATTCTTCAGAATTGTTAGTTAAAAGTACGAAAAACAATAATTTAATTCTACGAGAAATCAATTATTTAATAGGTACAAAAATAAATAATATTGAATGTTTCTTAAAATTTAATTTTTACAAAGAATTGTATTAACAACTTTTGAAAAAATTTAATTAAAAATTTAATGAAATTTATTATATTAAAGAATTTTATAACAATTTTTGAAAATAATTGAAAACTTTTTGAAGAATTTTATTAAATTTTTAAAAAATAATTGACTTCTTGAGAAGAATTTTTAAAAAAATTTTGACAATAATTTAATTCATGAGAAGAATTTCCCTATCTATTTATAAAGATAATTTAATTCTTGACGAGAATTTTTAAAAAATTTTGAAAATAATTTAATTTCTGCAAAGTATTTTATTATTTTTTAGAAGGATTGAATTCTTGTGATGAATATTCATATTTATATAAATAATTGAATTTTGAAAAAGAATTTTATTAAAATTCCTTAGAATAATTGATTTTATGGGAAGAATTTATGCGATTTTGTTGTTTATCAAGCTAATTGAATTTTTTTGCAAAATTACTTAAAAATTTTTGAAAATAATTGATTTTCTTGCGACGATTTAAATGTTATTTATGAAAATATTTGAATTATTGCAACGAATTTCATTGTTTTATTGAATAATTGAATGTTTCTTAAAATTGAATTCTTTCCACAAGTTTTAATAAAATTTTTAATAATAATTGCATTTTTCAAGGAATTTATTTAAAATTGTATTAAAAATATTTGAAATTCTGCGATGAAAATAATTGAATTCGTAAATGAAATTTTATTATTTATGAAAATAATTGAATATTTTCGTAGAACTGTATCAACAAGTTTTTTCTATTATTAAATCTGTTGATAAATTTTATGAAAATAGTAAATATTTAAAAACATTGAATTACGAAAAACTTTTGAAAATAATTGAAATTTTGTAAAGAATTTAATTTAAACTTTTGAAAATAATTGAATTTTTGGCGAAAAATTTTGCTATTTGTATATATAATTGAATTCTTGACGAGATATTCATTAAAATTTATAAAAATAATTGAATTCGTGCAAAGTAGGTATTTTATTAAATTTTGTTTAAATAATTGAAATTTTGCCAAGAATTTAATTAAAATTTTTGACAATAATTGAATTCTTGTGATGAATTTTGATATTTATCAAAATAATTGAATTTTGGAAAAGAATTTCATTAAAAATCCTTAAAATAATTGATTTTATGGGAAGAATTTTGTTGGTTATCAAGATAATTGAATTCTTTTGCAGAATTACTTAAAAATTATTGAAAATAATTGATTTCCTGCGACGAAAAAAATAGGGGAAATTTTCAAAATAGGATACGTTTAGGGACCAAAAGTAAAAAAAGGGAACTTTTAGGGAAATAGGGGACAGACTGAGAAGCCTGAAGAAGTCTAAGACAAAAAATACAAAATAAATGAAATCCAAAAAAACAAAAAAAAAATAGTTTCACTTTGGACTTATTTTTTGTCTTGGTCAAAAAGTTCAAAGAAATTAAAAATCCAATGAAAATAATTGAAATATAAAAATTTAAATGGTTGCCTTGAATTAAATTGTCCTTTTTTTTGAGTTGCTCATTTCAATGACTGTGAATCGAAAGTAGGTAAACTTAACATTTTAAATTTCTGAAAATAATTCAATTAATCGAGTAATTTTAATGAAATTATATATTGAAAAAAATATTTGAATTTTCATAAAGAATTTTATCAAAATTGTTGAAAATAATTGTATTTCTTGGAATAATTGTTTTCAAAATATTATAGAATAATTGAAATTTTTCTAGAAATTTTTTTATTTATGAAAATAATTGAATTTTTGTGAAGAATTGTATTATTTATGTAAATTATAGCGTAAAAAGTAAAAACGTGGCTTTTTTACATGTTTCATTATTTTTTTTGGTTTTTTTGTACTTTGGACTTTTTTTCTTGGATTTTTCGATCTGGACTTTTTGGACTGTTTTTTTGTTCTGTAATCGAAAACATCAATAACTTCTTTTCCTTCTTTTTTAAAGAAATATTTACTCATTATTTTTCCATTGCGGAATTAAGATTTGCAAAATTTTCAAATTCAAATCCTTTTTGAAATTTAACAACTTAAAAGAATATTATTATAACACATGAAGAGTAAAATGAAAATTCAAAAAGGCTCAAAATATTTTCTGACTGAATTTATTTTTTAACCACAAAAAATTACCTTAAAAATAATTTTGTGGAACATTTTTAATTTATTTTCTTGATATAGTTAAAAATATCGATGCGAATGGGAATTTAATAGATTTAATCTTTTAAATAAAAAATTTTGAATTGTATATTTTAATTTAAAAACCTGATAGTAAACGATGAAATTAGAAAAACAAATGTCGAATTTAAATTTCTTAATTATTACACTTACATGTAAATTAACGAATAGACAACACTTAGTATTCAATATATTAAATTCAACAAGTTTCCATAATTACCTGTAAGACATATTTTTAAAAGCAAATATGTATTAAGATTAATAATAAGCCAATGACTAACCAAAAAATAAGTTTTTATAAATTTACAAATTAAAATTTATTAAAAATAAATGATTAACAAATAAAAAAATGTATACCAAAGCCTATTTGAAAAATTTTTTCCTTTTTTTTCATGAAAGAATTTATTAATAAATAAACGTAATCCAATAATACATCTTTAACACAGTAGGGTAAAATAATGATTTCTTCTTCTATTCGCGAGTAAACATTTGATTTTTGAATCTTTATTTTGTTTCTTTTTTTTTTATTTAAATGGAAATATGTATACCTATCAAGGCCTTAGAAAGTAAGTGCGTAGATTTGGGATGTTCTATTGACAAACAATTTTATCTTTGAATAAATAATTAGATTACTCAAGCAATTTTAGTATGTTTTATCATTTACTAATTAAAAAACATAAATCACTGATAACCCTCATTTATTTTAATCGTATTTTATCAGTAATTGATTTCTTTTAACTACGTTGCTATAAGCTATACATACAAATTTTATTGAGAATTAGCCAATAACAGGAAAATCAATTTTAAGGAGTAAATCAATATCTTTTTAGATTCATAAATTCTAAACTCTTCTTCATTTAATTTTATTGTATTTTGTTTAATAATTATTGTAAAATTTAATTATTAATAAATTAATTCAATAAAAATTTCTAAAAATTTCAGGGAACATTTAAAATTAAATTTTTATTTAAATAATTTTTTGCATCACAAAAATTAAATTTTATATTTATTTAGAATTTACATAAAAGGAAATTTACATAAATGAAAAACTATACTTGTTTTGCTGTTCAGAAACGGATATAATTAAATTTCAATGAAAAGAAAAATAAATTAACTTTGTATAGAGTATGGTGTGAGTAAAAAGTGTTATAACTGTCTTTTATTTATAAATAAAACATGTTTATGAAGACGATGTGAAAATTGCAAGAAAATTATTATCGCTCCAGCGAATGAAAATTGTAAAACAAATTTTTCTTCATTTTTGTAATCTTATCTCTTTTACAATTAGTCTACTTCTTAATCTTCATTTCAATTTCTAGAATTCACCCAATTAATAATAATAATAATAATAATAATAATAATAATAATAATAATATAAATAATAATAATAATGAAATGTGAATTATTATTTGTTCATTAATTAATTACAATATAGTTCTTTAATTTAAGTAAATGAAATAAACACAGTAAAAATAATAATTAATATAAAAAATCGTATGAAAAATTATTTTTCAAGTTTTATAAAAATTGTTAAACGCGGTTAAATTTTTTCGTTGTCTATTAAAAAGGTAAAATTCCTATAAATTTGAATATACGAATATCAAAAAATGGTATGGTAAGCAAAATTGTGAATTTAAAACGATTTTTTGTCCCTGGCATACTTAAATTCATTATTTATTTTAATTCCATCCCTGAACTAAGTATTCATTACAATATTGAACAAAAATTCAACATTTCGTCTTTCTCGATGTATAATACATCTCTAATTTTATGAGCAAGTCATCAAAGACTGAATAAATCCATTTTTTTTTAATTTTCTTAAAGACGATTTTAGGCCTGGGATCGACTTTAACGAACAAAAAAAGTCGAAAAAGTAATAATAATAATAAAAAATAAAATATTTAAATACTTCTTATTTCTTTTTTAACCAGGAAATAAAATTTAAAAAATTTCAAATTCTGAAATTTAATAATTTCTAAAAATTAAAACTATAACCCTTACAAGAATTCAATTATTTTCTACAATTTTTTACTAAACTTCTTTTTAAAGATATTAAGGTAGAATATATTCAAAAATTTTAATAAATAAATTCGTATAATTATTAACTATTTAAAAATATTTCTAAATATGTAATTTTTGAAAGATGCAATAGTTTTACAATTATATAACAATTAAAAATTTTTTTTAAAAAATTGAAATTTGATAAAATCTTTTTAAAAAATAATTTAAATTTAGTAAAATCTTTGAAAAATAATTAACATTTGCCATGAATTTTAATTAAATTCCTTAAAATAATTAAATTTGGCAAATGTTTTATTAAAATTCCTGAAAATAATTGAATTTTGCAATAAATTTTTTAAAAATTCCTGAAAATTGGATTTAGACATAAATT